TAGCAGTTTGTAACAAAATCTCATTTGCACAAATGCGTTATGCCCTTTGGTGTCCAGGAGATATCAATTAAAGTGGTGCTCTTCTTTAAATTTACTATGCTTCCCTTCTGGGTATGTTTGGAAATTTTGTTTCCTTTTACTATGTTTTTTTTTTTTTTTACTTGTAGCAACCCTTTATTACTTCTCCTTACTAAATATCCTTCTTTGTTTTCTTTGACTGGTATTCTGTCATTTCTCCCTAGTTCATCATCATGGAAGTAAAATGTTACGTTCGGAATCGAACTCTTCAATTACTACTCAGCCTCTTATAGGTTGGCAAATATCTCCCTCTTTCATTTCTCTACATCTTCACTCCTTCCTTTCTCTTGTCATCTTTTTAAGTCTACCATTTTCTTTGGTGTGTAGTGCATGCTTATTGTTCTTCATTTTACATTCTTGGGCACTGACTCCTAAAGCTCGGTTTTTGCTGTGATTAGCATGCACATTAAGGTGAATATTTAGAACCATCTTGTGTGCTCATATATCCTAAACTAATCTATCATATCTTGCATGCTGTTTTATCAGTGAGAACAATTCACCTTTGTTAATGGATATATATTTTTGTCTCAATGTTGTATAAAATGTATGTGCTTAGTCAGATCATGACTTTCTGGCTGGTAACATCCAACATCCAGCATAGTCTCACAAGCAGGAAAGAGTAGTACATGCTAGAATTTGTACCCTAACAATGGATTATATTATAACATCCTACTTAATAGGCACAGCCATGCAGGTGTGGCATTTTTACCTGAGATCAGTGATCAGAGAAACTCCCTCTCATTTGCTGAGCAGTGGTCATTTTTCTTGTTCAGCCACTCACTTTACTCTCTCTGTGTACACTGTTGTGCCAGGTTTCCCCATTAAGTATGACATATGGTTTTGCACAGGATATAATAAATAAATGAGCACTGCTCTGCAAGTAGGGATTTTGGGTATTTGTGTTATAATTTTGTAAATACATCTATTTGCATTAAGTCTTAGTAAGGCTCAGTAAACAAAAGAGCTGGGGATCTTCAGGCCAAGATACTAAAGTTTTGGTCCTTAAAATAAATTCAGGGTTTATTTAATACTTGTTATGTTTTTAGGAATGTCAAGCACAGCACTCTGCTTTCTAAATATAGGACTTCTAACTAGAATGTCAGAAAGTGGACTCATTCTACATTATCCAGGCTTGTTTACATTAAAACCGTTTTTAGTGTCATTCTAACCCAGAAGAACTGTAGCAAATAAAGTGTCTGCAATAAGAGAATACTGTAAATCATGCAGGCTAGGTCACATGGACTTTTTTTCCAGGCTGTTCAAATTACAACAGACTTATCAATTTTCTTCTGAAAATTGCAAGATTCGATTTGCAAGGGGGTCAGTTTGTAAATTCTATTCAATATTATGTGCAGCAGTTTTCTTTATTCTTTTGAAAAGATGAGTTTTAACATCACTGAGCTGAAAAACAAGGTATGGTACCAGCTAATTGGTGAAAAGCAAATGTGGTACCAATATACAAAAAGGGGAAATGGAGTATACAGGGTAACAATAGACCAGTCAGTTTAGCATTGATAGTGTGTAAATATTCAAGGAATAATAAGGTATTATATACAGGAATTTGCCTATGAAAATGGTATCATAAGTAGCAACCAACATGACTTCATGAAGGACCATTCATGTCAGACCATTCTATTAACCTCCCTGGCGGTAATCCCGAGTCTGGCTCGGGGTGAATTTTCCATGCTAGGAGCGGTAACCAGAAGTCAGTATTAGCTTAGACAGAGGAATACCAATAGATGTGGTGTATCTTGACTTTGCTAAAGCATTCAATACAGTACCCCACAAACGTTTAATTCATAAACTAAGGTCAATGGGTTTGGATGAAATTGTATGCACATGGGTAAAAAAGTGGCTGCATGAACGGATCCATAGGGTAGTAATAAATGGTTAATTATCAAATTGGGCAAAAGTTGTGAGCTGGGTGCCCTAGGTATCAGTCTTGGGACCGATCCTGTTTATTTTATTCATAAACGACATCGAGATTGGTACAAATATTTCAATCTTGGTTTTTGCGGTTGATACCAAACTGTGTAGGGCAGTAAATTCTCAAGAAGACATAAACTTGCTTCAAAAGGACCTAGATAAAATTGAGGAGTGGGCTGCAAGATGGCAGATGCAATCCAATATTGAAAAATGTAATGGTATGCACATGGTAACAAAGAATATGTGTGCAAACTACTATCTGGGGGGTGCACCATTGGGGAAGTCTGACATAGATCACAGATTTGGCAATAGTATGCAATGCTAAACGGCAGACAGCAACGCAAACAGGATATTTTCTGCATTAAAAGAGGAATTTTGGCAAGGGATAGAAACATATTAGCACTTTATAAATCACTGGTTCGGCCTCACCTTGAATATGCAGTTCAGTTTTGGTCACCAACTCTCAGGAAAGATGTTCTCGAACTTGAGAGAGTTCAGAGAAGGGCTACAAAATGAATAATTAATAAAGGGGATAGAAGCCCTGAGCTATGAAGATCGCCTCAATAAAAAAAATGTGTTCTCCTTAGAAAAGAGGTGCTTGAGGGGGGACCTAACTGCAATTTTCAAAATCATAAATAGGGACAACAATATTTGGAATAGGGTGTTTACACCAAGAACTATACTAATGACACGAAGACACAGTAAGAGTTTAGAAGAGAGGAGGTTTAATCTCAGACTTCGCAAGGGTTTTTGTTTACTGTGTGAGTAGTAAAAATGTGGAATTCCCTTCCACAGTCAGTAGTATCTGCTGATAGCATTGATATATTCAAGAAACATTTAGATGAGTCTCTTGAGTCCTTAAATATACAGGGATATGGGAACTACTAGAGCCAAGTATATACATACATACATACACATAGTTTGAACTAGATGAACCTGTGTCTGTATTCAACCTTACCTATGTTACTATGTTACTTTACTATATGCCCATTAGAATAATGGGTGACCTCTCATACCCAATATTAGGGCTCATAAGTAGAAAGAAGGTGTGTCAGAGGCAGTAACCAGGAAGTGTGGTTGGTAGATGCTTAACAAAATGTCCGGAGTTTTTGGGTTCTTGAGCTCCTATGCATTAGATCTGTGCTAAAGTCTAAATTTGGAGGTGTGCACAGTACAACATGGGGTGCCAATTTTTCTTTAAGAAGCACATTAATAAATGAAACATACAACATTGGTTTTCCTTTTTAACTGGTAGGGAAGCATTCAGACATGCACAAAATGGATATTGTGTCAATATCGTTTCAACTCAGTGAGCATAAAACAAAAATCTCAGGAAAACGATGCTGTGGAAAAACACCAGTCTGTCCTGCTCTTAAACTTAGTTCATACAGTATACATGCTTTTTATTCTTCTTTTTTTTTTTAAAGTGGAAGGGGAACCGTCTGATAATTTCAGATAAGAGTACCCTATCTCATAAAGAAACACAAAAAAATGTGTCCATGTGTAAATGTGACATGAAAGGTCATCATCAGATTTTACTTGAGGTCTGTGCCATTACTGACAAATGTGCAAGTAGTACCTGAGGAAAATGGTAGGATTTGAACAGCATATTGACTATAGTTTTATGGAGCTCATAATGCATCTTGTGTACCGTTTACTCATTAAACTGCACCTAAAATGCAGACCTTAGAGTTAAATACTTCAAGATGCCTGGAATGATAGATGATTCTGCATTTCTGATGTGTCCATGCCATGTTCTTACCACATACCAGCAAATAAAGATTGGATGTGTGATGATGTAAATACTCCATTATAGTCCCTTTCCTCTCAGACACTTTCTGTGACCACCCTATCATTCACTTGACACTTTTTGTTATGATTAAATCACTGTTATGTTGTGGTCATTGATTTCAATATGAAATGTGCAGCTTGTAACCTTTCCTCAGTGTTTTATGGCATTCTCTAATTAGGAAGTGAGACAGCTCTAATGTTATCCATCGCTTGTCAATGTAAATATGTAGTAACTCTTTGTAATGCCTTTTTCAAGTTATGGTAAATCCAGACTAACGGAATGAGCTCCTGAAATAGAGCAAGCTCTCATATTTGTGAATCCTGAATTGGTTCTAAGCAACATAAATCATAGCATGACGGTTGTACTTGTGTTTCTAAACCTTCAATTGTTATGCGTCAGTGACCACATCACAAATTATATTAGTCTAGTTAAAAGCAACAGCTTAATACTCTTTAAAATGAAAAGTGAAGCAATCAGTTTTACATTTATTCTTGTAGAATGAGAAGTACATTGTTCTAACTTTGAATGTAAAATGTATACTCCTGATTTAGATGAGTTGTATCTCTAAAATAGCCTATAATTTACACTGTGTATGTTAATTGTGATTCCATGTGGTTGTAATTAGTAATCACTGACATTACAATATCTGTTGAGTGATTTATCAATCCATGTATTGCTTCTTTGTAGCCAAAGGAAGGACAAATGTAGAGCTGCGGGAAAAGTTCATGTTACCGGAGGGAATTAGTCAAAGCATGACACCTTTCCGACCCAAGGGGCGCAGGTCTAGGCCATCATCAAGAGGGGCTTCACCAAACAGGTCCAACTCAAGCCCAAACATCCAGGCTAGTCCATCACAAGTTACCGCTACCAGCACACCCAAGGTATGCTCATGGTTAGAGGTCTATTTTTTAATTGTATACCTAAAGGCACGTGAGTATGAAAAATACTTATCTGTGTGATACAGATTTATAATTTAGGAGGTTCATGATTAGATAATCAATTTTGTGTTTGCATCTTGCACCTTCAGTGGAAGACGTTACCTTTCCCAGATTGATATTATTGCATCTTTTTTAAATTAACTAGATTATCATATATCAACATACACATTATATTTACAAAAGCTACACACTTTTGTAAATGTTCTAAGAAACCGAGATGATTAAGTATAAATCAATCTCTCATCTCTACCTTATTGCATAGTAGATACCATACATGAAAAGTCTTCAGCTAGCAAAATCCAATTCAGTGTTCAGTGTGACTAAATTTATAGCATTTTGTCATATATGCATATTTTGTATTCCCAGCACCTGCTTTGGGATTTATGTGCTTATATGCAAAACATGTACAATGTTCATGTATATATAGATTCCAGGCCTTCAGAGTTGCTGTTGTAAGCAAAATGTGAATGTCACTGTATTCAGTGGCTGACAGTTTGAAAGGAACATCTTTTAATGGCATATAACATAATCACGTATCACAAAGGAGTGATAGGCTATATTTGTTAAGCAGTTTGTGTACATTTTTTTCTTTGTAACATTCTTTCTTTTGTAGCTTTGCACATTTATTCCACTTTTACTTTTTTGAATCATATCCTGCTGTACATATCTGTGTATTTTTAAGGTTCTTGAATGAGATGCAGTCTTGGGCCTGGTTTAGTCAAAGTCGATGTTTTTTTCCTTAAAAAAAAAAAACACTCTCCCTTATGAATTTCATAATTCCACCTCTGCACATTTTTTTTTTAAACTGCATTGCCATTGTTTCATACAGACACCTCTCCATATAACACGCAATTATGGTAAACCTTGGTTGACAAACAGCAAAACATCGACTCCTTGTAAGAGTCCTGAGCCCTGTGAGCACAGACTCTCATCTGAAGAGGTATAGTACACATAGTGCATACAGTTGTGTAATCTCTCCCAGTCACAACTGCTAAAACAGCTCACTAACCACTGTCACTACTTCACTGAAAGCCCTTCTGTGCACACTGGCTAATAGTTAACTTCAGTATGACATCTGTTATCTCTTCCCACATCCTACTTCATAATATTACAGTTCAGTTTCTTCTCTCTGTCAATTTAATATGACTAGGCATTAAGCTGACTTGTATCCTTACAATTCAATTTAGAAACTAATACTTCCTCTTCTGTCTTAATTCGTTAAGCATGGTTCACTTGTTATTCTATGCTATTCCTTTCTGTTATTTCTGAGATTATGGTTTTTGTGACATATTTTAGTAATATTATTGTAACTCTATAAACCATTGTTTATAGAGCAACAGTGGTAAGTCTCAATTGAGGCTTCTTCTTATCCCTATCAGCGCAGGTTCTCTCCTCTGCATGGTGTTTCCATTAAATCGACAAACAGAGCTCTGCCTCAGCTCATGCTCTTCTGTTGCTCAAGGCTAGAGGTCTGTCTCCTCAGCCCTCTCACTGGCTTTAAAAGCCCTATGAGAGGTACAAAAAGGGAGGGGGACAGGTGCAGATTATTCTTAAGCAACCAGCCTTGCCCCCCAATGGCTGCACGATCCCGCAGGATTGTGGCCTTTGTTTTCAGTCAGCTGCATGTGGCGGGAGCAGGGGGCCGCGCACTTGGGCATGAGCGGCTCTCTTCTGATAGCGGTGCCCAGAGATCTTTTGAGAGTGGTTAGGGGAGGCTTTGCTCTCCGGCCACAAGCTCAGGTCTGAGGAAGAGCTGGGGGGGGGGGGTGTCCTTGCAGGCAGCAGTGAGTTTGAGGGTGGGGGTTATAGGTTTGACGCCTGTGACATAATCACTTTAGACAAAGTACTATTTTAAAAAAGATTTTTTTTTTTTTTTAAAGTGGGGAAGGGTTAGGGGTTTTTTTTTTCTGCTTGTGTCCCTGCTGGGAAGATTGCCTTTTTTATTTGATCTGGTAACCATTGTCAACCAGAACTGGAAATTAAAGTGAGCAAAATTTTAAAATGTTAAGTTGTCACTGGAATGGGAATAGAAAGGAAATATTCAAATGGAGACCCTTGTTATAGTTACAACTATCAAAGAAGAAGATTCCCCTTACTTTGGAAAGATATCCTCTACCTCCATGTTGTGTTCCAAAGTCCTACCAAAGGAGCATCATCTGTCCCTTTTTTCTGAGCATCATCTGTCCCTTTTTTCTGAACATCATCTGTCCCTTTTTTCTATCGCTTTTGGGATGTGCATGAAGGACAAGAGCATTTTAGGCCTTGATTTACTAAAGTAGCAGAGCATGTTTACTTTGATAGATACACGATCATGTGCAAAAAAACCAAACATTATTATTGCATATGATTGAATGATCAAAGTCAACACACCTTCACCTCATTCCCTAAGAGAAAATTCCCTTTAAAAGTGGAAATGCTGTACTCCTTTAGTATATTAACCCACATGTGTTATAAGACATTTTGTCTATGCAGAGCAATAAAATGCACATTGTGCAGAAAAATTCCAAGTGAATCATTTAGGGTTGTGCTTACATTTTGTCTTGTTTGTCTAACACAGGGAACTCCTATTCAAGGAAGCAAGCTTAGGCTTCCAGGATATCTTTCAGGGAAAGGATTTCACTCAGCAGAAGAAAGTAGCCTATTAACTGCAGCATCCACCAAAGTCAGGTCACAGTTTGCAGGTAAGACATGAATAACACACAAATTACTTTGGTCACTTGATTTATCTTGAGGAAAGCTGATTTATGAGAATGGGAGCATAGAACATAGTCAAAGTATAGCCATTACCCATTGGAACAGTTTACATTTCCTAGAGTATGCAAGTTAAAATATAAAGTTAAAAAAACAATTTGCTGGCGTTACACTTTAAAGTAAATCTAACAATGTATGGTAAGCACGTTGGAAGAATTAACCCAAAAATACATTATTAGGATTTATGCAAATTTTGACTCTCAGTTAACCTTGACTCCAGCTTGATTCCAAATCATATCTTGCTACCGGCTTTTTATCAGCTTGGCCCGTATCCCGGTCAGGACACTGTCTGCAAGGAGTGTGCACATTTTTCTTGTGCTTGCGTGGGTTTCATCCGGGAACTCCGGTTTCCTCCAACTATCCAAAGACATGCTGCAAAGGTTAATTGGCTGCTGTCTAAATTGTCTCTTTATGAATGCATGTGAGATAGGGACCTTAGCTTGTAAGCTCCTCAAGGGTAGGGACTGATGTGAATGTGCAGTATGTAAAGCGGTGCATAAATTGTCGGCATTATTTAAATAGCAATAATAAATAAATTAGTGTGGTTTTCTCTGTTTATGTATATTTTCATCATGTTTTTAATTTTAATTGTTCAGCTTTAGAGCATGTCTGCCTAAACTAGCTACGCTGAGTGTCAAGGCTTTATTTCTGTTTACAGTGCTGACCAGTTAGAAGGTGATTGCACTGACCAATGAGTAAGAGCAGCGGGTGGGGTTTGAGATGGGGTATATTGTTCCAAAAATTCCCCTGGGAAAGTGGAGTTACCCTTTAAAAATCACCTTCCCCATTGACTCCAATATATTATGCCAAAATGATAAATAATGCCAAAATGTCTTTATTTTCACTGAATGAACAATGGTAATCCATGTATATCAACATCTGTCACTGATTGTAAATGAGAATGAATAATAACTCTGTACATCTTAATTTCATCTCTGCTGATTTAAGATTGTGACTGCACCTTTTTTTTAAAAAACAGATTATCGAAAAACTCTTAGTCGAGCTGGTAGCAAGGCTGGGAGCAGGTCGAGTAGCCGACGGGGAAGTGATGCATCCGATTTTGACATCTCTGAAATTCAGTCTGTGTGTTCTGACATGTATGAGACTGTTCATAATAGCAGGCCCTCTCCACGAGCAAGTTCACGGCTTTCAACGGGCACACCTTCCAAAATTCCTACTCCTCAGCGGAGGTCACCCTTGAGCAAGCTAGCAACAACAAAGTCAACAAAAAGATAGGGTAATAAACTCTGGAGAAAGTCTTTCATTGTGCATTGCCTATTTAAGTTTGTAAGATGTAAAATATTATGTAGATTATTGTGGATAATGCAAGAATTTGATTTTAACCCTGCAGATGGCCTTAAATGTGTGTTTTGTCTTCGTCTTTGTTTTTTTACACATATTTTTATTGAAATTTGTGTTATAGTTTGGAAATGCTTGAGGGACAGTAAATTAAACTAACAGACACAGTTGCGTGAGGAAAACAAACTAATCGGTTGCTGAATGTATTTATAACTGCATTTCGGAAGGAACTTCAATATGCCAAACACTGCTTCATTAGATACAAATTAAGAATACCTCATAACTATTTATAATAGTGCAAAATGTTTAACATACCAAGCTTAAAAACACTACACAGTCTCCATTCACTTGAACATAAGGACACCCTCTGCATTTATTGACGCAGTTTACTTTTAGAGAACTCACAGAAGATTATTTAATCACTTGCCAGAAATTATATTTTTGTTTTTTATTTTATCTTAACTTATGTCTGTGAGATTCGGTCTTAATAGAACTATTACACTGTTGAAATAATAGTATTTGGTGCATATGTGCGGTTTTCCTTCGCTTGAGTGGATGGTTAAATGATATCAAACATTTTTTTATCCAATCAGTTTTGCTTGCAGAATCTATGAAATAAAACCTGTCCAAATCAGTCTCTGTTTGTTATTTATTAGTTTTTTTATTTTATTTAAAAGATAGTCCTACGTACAGCAGATGTGTAATTGAACAACACTGTTATGTAAAATGTTATTATTGACAAATTAGTCAAGCAGCTTTTCTGTTGGTTTTTTTTCTCCCCGGGGTTTTATCAGATCAAGCCTTTTTAGCTACTGCAATTTCCTAATATAATATTTCTGGTTTGGGTGTTACTTAGCCACCTTCCCTTTTTTTCTGTTCAGTACAGGAAGTGTTGATGAAGATACTAAATGGTGTCACCAGCTCTTGGTACTTCCAGCCTTTAGTGTGTGGTGAAAGAGTTCTTTGAGGTTTTTTTTTAGTTAGGTCATTTTTGTTCAGAAATTTGTGAGCACTCCATCTAACCAACCCCTGTACTTAAGAAATACTAAAGCAGAGAAGACGCATGTATAGGATAATTCCAATGCCCTGGAACAGTTGCCTGTCACAATATACTTTGGTAAGGGTACACATACGCAGCAAAAGAATACTTAATATTTACTATATATTTTTTTTTCCCCTTAAAATTAGGAAAGAAACTGTAAAACCTGGGAGGTCTACCTTATTTTTTTACCTTGCAAATGTTACCATTTGCATTTTTGATCTTATAGTGTTTGTTTATTTTAATAATGTTGTCCATAAAAAGCAGTGGTCTCCTTTCATTCTTCTTATCTTAGTTTTTTTTGAGAAATGTGAATAAAAATTGAATGAGAATGTAAGTGAAAAAGCAAGTATTATTAATAACGGAATAAAGAGTGAAGTACAATACTATTTTCAGTTTTAATTGCCTCCAATTTGTGATGGAATAGCCCCATTTCACACATCCCAAAAGTGCTAAATAGCAGTGTAGACTATGCAAGAACCTTGCAGTCTGCCTTGCCATCTGACTCATTGCAAAATGCCAGTGGATGCCATTTGCATATCCTTTACTTTTTACATCCAAATTGTTTTGAAGGAAGATATATATAATAAAACATGAATCCCAATCAAAGTTTAGTTTACATTATACTGTGTGGTACTGTTCACATTCGAGCTATATAAGTATATAAACTACAGTTTTGAGGTTACGCTTAGGTTTATTGAAAATTTTATTTTTTTAAGTGACCTGGGAACCCACTAAAATTCAAGAGCCACTGTTTACGAGACCATGTGTACTAATCTGATTATAACAATTGTTAAAGCAGAATCAACCATGTTCTTATTTTAATTGTGCATCCCAAATCTACCCTGCATATTATGGGGATCTTAAAGTACAGTATATCTAAAGTCAAAACTTTATTTTGGGTAGAGGAGAGGAAGGTTTAAAGGATAATTAAAGCCTCCGTTTTTTTGCATATATCTACTGCTAGCAAGTAGTAGATATGTGAAAAGTGTGGGCAAAAAAAAAAAAAAAACGCCTTGAAAAGGGTTAATACTTACCTGTGTCTTCCCCATGCGCTCCAGTCCAAAAATGTGAAAATTCTCAGGCGGCCGCAAAGCATCTTGGGGCGGGTGCATGCGCAGATCACATTTTCGGCCGGCACGAGAGGAGAGACACAAGGTAAGCCTATGGACGCGTGCACCCGCATGCAGACACCGTGGGACAGGAAGTGCCAGCAAGCTCAGAGGAGTCAGCGCTGGATCGGAGACCCACCGCAGTGCTGGAGGGACAGATGAAAAGGACAAGAAAGAAGATCAGATTAAGAAACATCATTTAAGGTAAGTGCTGACATTAACATTGGGGGCAGGGAAAAACATTTTTGACTTTAATGTCACTTTAAAACCATTGTGTGTTTTTCCCATCTCTGTCTGTTTTTAATTTACCTGAATTTGATTTCTATAATGGAGTGCAGACAGACTTTAGAGAGAACCTTGTAGGGTTAGTGGAAGTATGCTCTTGAAGCCTGGTCTGTATAACTTTCTCTCTGGGGGGAATTCAGTATAGCCTTAACCCCTTCGTGACGGGAGACGTACCCTGTATGTCCCCCCATAAAGTGCCCAAATGACTGCTCACGTACACTGTAAGTGATTAGCTATTTGGAATTCTGTAAGGCTGGTAACCGCTGAGAATCAGTGGTTGCCGTTCATTAATGGATGCCTCAGTATTGAGGCATCCATTAATGTAAGAGTTAAGCTTTTTCAGACATCCGATCCCCTTCAGTTTAACTATCTAGATGTAGTTCATGCTCTGCAGGTTTACCATTAGAAAGACTGACTTACTTTTTGTCATTCATGATGGTCCCCATAGAGGTAAGCCAACTTCTGGCACCACCATTTCTTCCTGGCTCAGACAGATCATTGTTCAGGCTTTTGGTCTTAAGGATCTAGCTCCAACCTTCCCTGTTAAAGCTCACTCTACTAGAACTGTAAGTGCCTCTTGGGCTTTTTGGAATCAGGCAAATGTTTCCCTCATTTGCAAGCCTGCCACCTGGTATTCTGGTCACACATGCTCTAAGTTTTACCAAGTGGATGTTCAGGCCTCATCTGATTCCAACTTGGGTATAACATACTACAAGATCTTTGAGCTGCACTCTGCCCCAGTTCTATTGTTTTGTTATGTGGTCCTGGAAGTGTGTTATTACCCTGGCCCTCCCCTTAGTTGGACTGCTTTCGAACATCCTAATTGTCTCTGAATAACTTAATTCTGTATCCCTTAATAAATAAGAAAGTAAATAGGATTTTTGTATTTACCATAAAATTTACCATAAAATCCACTTTATGCAGTTTATTAATAGATACAGGTCCTACCCCTCTGTGTATGTGATCTTCTCCTAGTACTGCTTTCCTAAGAAACTGAAGCTTTATTGAAATGAGAGGGTTTTATACCTGGCTGGCCTGTGGCTTTTTTATACTAGTGTCCAAATTCTCCTGTAGGTGGCAGTATAACCCAAATGTCTTTAAATAACTGAATCATGTGCCCCTTAATGAACTCCAAGAAATGGAGTCTCCAGACATTAAAAAAAAAACTAGAAATGCCTTCTTTTTAGACATGTGCACTGCCAAAAAATTTGTTTAGTTCCGTTTCGTTTTAAATTTGGATTTGTGTTATTTCGGGATTCGGGTGTGAAAGGCAATTCGGATTCGGACGAAATTCGGTAGCGGTAGTTCGAACGTTCGTTTCGTTTTCTGTTCTTATTCGTTTCTTTTTCGTTCGTTCGTTCCTTTGCAGCAAAGTGACATTTGAGGGGGAAAAAATATTTTTCTCCTTCTCTAATGTCACTTTGCTCCAACGAACGAAACGAAAAATAAACGAAAACGAAACGAACGTTCGAACTACCGCTACCGAATTTTGGAAATGGAAATTCGGATTCGTTTGCATTCGTTATGTCTGTAATTCGGATACATCCGAATGTCCAAATTTCCGAAAATTTGTCCGAATTTCGATTCGGAACGAAACGAATCGCACATGTCTACTTCTTTTCATTCACTTTGTTGTGTTCCCAATGCTTAGTGAATAATGAACAGAGAGGCTGCATTAACAAGTATTCAGCATCTCTGTGTACCACTGTGACTTCTTGAGATCATACATTGTTGGTGATTGCAGGGAGAAAACTAAAGACAAAAGAGTGGTGCACTTACCAACTTGGCATTAAATTAGCTTTTCACAATGGGAACTCTTGTTAAAAAAAACACATGTATAAAACGTACTATAAACCAGGGCTCAAAATTTGCACTTGCCCCCTCGCAATTGGCGAGTGAAAATTGCGTGGGGGCGAGTGGAAATTCAAGGGGGGAACTGATGCCGCTTCTACAGCGGCGATCGCCGGTTCAGCGGCGGCGATTGCCGTGTCACTTCTCTCTTCTCCTCGATCGCTGCCGCTACAGAAGAATCCATCCATTCGTCCTCCCCCTGCCACCCCCACCCCCTTCACCTACCTCTCTCCTCACTGCTCTGTGCTCCATCCTCCCCCCGGCCGCCTGTCTCCTCACCGGCGCGGATGCAGAGCGGCAGGGTTAACCCTGCCGCTCCGTGATAACCAGTGAGAGGGGAGAGCAGTCTTCCCCTCTCACTGGTCACAGAAATGTTCTAGCACAGTGCTGTGCTAGAACTCCTGTATTGGAGGTGACAGGTTCCATAAAGAAAACCTGTCACCTCCAAATGCTATCACACAGGGGCTTGTTTGCTCCTGTGTGATAGCGATAGAGTTAAGTGGAAAAAAAATTGTTAAAAAAATAATTAAATGAATAACATTTTAAAAAGTAAAAAAAGAATAAGAAACAATTATTAAATTGAAATAAAAAGGTGATTAAAAAGTTTTAAAAATGCACGGTCCACTTGCCATGACAACCAGTTGATTGGCAGGTTCCTTCCCTACAGTGACCCGGGCTCCAATGCATAGAAGAAGGACAGGAACCTGCCAATCAGCTTGTTACTATTCCATGGGTCATATTTGACGGGCGTACAGGGACAATGAGGGCATGCTGGAACTTGTAGTTCAATTACGGCATGTCCCAGCATGCTCTCATTGTACCTGTACACCCCCACATATTACAGGGGGAGGGGCTCAAAATGTTGTCCTGCCTCAGGCGCCGTTTACTCTGGTTACTCTGCATCCCAACGCAGGTCTCTGTACTGTGCATCACACCGCAGTTCTCTGTACTGTGCATCACACCGCAGGTCTCTGTACTGTGCGTCATACCGCAAGTCTCTGTACTGTGCATCCCAACGCAGGTCTCTGTACTGTGCATCACACCGCAGGTCTCTGTACTCTGCATCACACCGCAGGTCTCTGTACTGTGCATCACACCGCAGGTCTCTATACTCGGCATTGTTACTGATCTTTGTACTCTGCGTCACGCCGCTGACCTGACGGAGTTAAGGCCGGGGCAGGGTAGGGGTTAGTGGGACAACTTGTGGCAAGTAACTATTAAGGCCTGGCTAGTAACCCAGGACTAGAAATTTTTAGCCCTGCTATAAACTATATATTTTGTTTAATTTTATTAATAACATTTTGTTTTAATTTGTATTTTTATTTCCATGTTTATGTAATTTGTATT